ACATCATTTAGCCCCTAACAAGGTTATTAATAAAACATTTTGGGCTTTGAAAATAGTTCCTTTCTAGCATCTTTTGGTGGAAAAACAACTACATTATGGCATACACTGCCCACAGAGCATGAGGGGTTTTTTTTAGAATTAGGAGAGGGAAATAGAGGGAAATTTGGATGAGTTCTATACATAGAAGATATTTTCTCTGCTACAGTTGTTAGGAGGGTGTTGTTTGGATGGTGGTCTGTGTGGGAGCCCCACGCTGAGCTGAGAGCTGTCTGGGAATGCTGGAGAGGGACCCAAGCAGCAGATCCCTGTGCCCATGCCTGCCCTGAGGGCCCCAAAGTGACAGGCACCTGCTGCCAGCCAGGCTGGGGGCTGTGGATGGAGAAACCTACCCTGCTGCTGGCACAGCCTCTGTGGGTATGTGCTGCCATACAGGAATCCTAAGGGATCCAGAAATTATTTCAGACCCATTCAGCTGTTTGACTGTCACTTCCTGGTGCTTGGATGATGACTGGCAATGTTTTAGCAAGGGGGCAGAGCTACAACTATCTCTGCCATTAAGCTGATGCAAAGTCTGTCTGAACATGAGACAAAAAGGAGGCAAAGGAGAAATCTTTTGGATATCTCAGACTGCCTGCATATCAACACAAGAGACATTTGTTACCCAAACCCCACCCTTATAAAGATACAAGCAATACTTGAACTGACTTATATTAATGGAAGTGTATAACTTGGTCAGATAACTATGAAGAACATTTATCTGATGCCTTGTGAAGTCTGACCTAGAACAGAGGCTAGACAGACTTAAAGAATAAAGTAAATATTTATTAGAAGGCCTCAATGGATACACCTTGGGCAGTGCAAGAGCTCAGCCAGGGCCACACCCAAGATGGACCCAAAATGGTCACAAAATGGACAATTAGTCACAAGGCCTATCACATTTATAAGTTCTGGTCCATTAGCACATTGATGTTAATTGTCCAGTTACAGTTTTAGGTTATGAAGTCCCATCCTTCTTGTCTTTCTCTCTTCATTCTGCCGTTGTTTATGCTCTTGGGCCTGAGAGTAGGATCATTTGTTCTTGGTCCCCAGCTAGAGAAGGAATTGTTTTGTCTACCTACTCTGTGAAGACTGCTTACTATCCCGTAATATGAAGCTCCGAAGTACGCACCAAAGCGGTACAGAATCTGAAAAATATAAAGCTAAAACCTGAGGCATCATTTCTCTGCGCCTCTTGGAGCTGTCACACACTTCCTGGCTCCAGCAGCCCTTGCTCATGGCTGAAAAACTGTGATGTTTGCCACATCAGGAAAATAATTAAGGACACTTTCTCATCATCAGTGTGGTCTTGTTTCCTGTCTATACCACAAATCAAAATCAGTGCTACCTGGCATGGGTGCTGTCTTCTCATGGGGCAGAGAAAGCGGGAAGAACAAGTGGGAGACGTATGGCTGTGCTCCATGAAAAGAATTGCTACGCCATTTCCCTCCTGTAGGAGTTCTTCAATAATCTAACCATATATTCTTTACTAAATCTGTCTATTTAAAGACAATGGTGCTGTGTTTTCCCTTTTACTCTAAGCAAATTATTTCTTTATTAAGACTAATCATGCAGCAGGCTACGTTTTAAAGATTTACTTCCTCTGAACTAAATATATTAATTTCATGAGCCATCAGACCTTGGCATATTTTCCAGATAGAAACAAGATGTTAGAGCATCATTATAATTATATTTTAAAAATTACTTTCAAATTTAACATTTTAGATTGTTGATATTGCCTGTTTTGGCAACCATTGTTTAGGAGACAAAGCATGAAAAATGTACTTTATTCATGTGTGAAGCAAGAAAGCATAGGAGTGACTGATGAAATGGTCCTTAAATTATAAAGTGATTTGACATTAAAATTAAATGATGACAAATACAAATATTTTAGCAGAGAGAAAGGTCTCTGCAGACATAGAATTATTACATGGAAGAAAATGGTCTAACAGGCACAGAATCTCAGTGATTAGAAAATCTGATTTTTTTCAAGCAATCTCATTAGTTTTAAAAAACTATTCATAAATTTTAACATGTATAATAAACCTAAAAATTCTGGAAAATCTTGACAGCCACTTGCACAAATAATACAATTACACAGAGAAGTATTTCCACCCACAAAATTATCTAAGAGAGTGGGGAGAAAAAAGATTTCTAGCAAGTCACTAAATACTACATTTTGTATTTAGGCAAAGTGATTGGGTAGCAGTGGTGAAAAGTGCATAATCTCAGTGAAAATTCCAGCATTAGATTGTATTTTAAAATGAATATGTTGCCAACCAAACTCCTGAAAGAAATTATTGGTAAAGCTTTTGGATTTTCATATTCATATTTTCCCATGTCTGTAAGTTCTTTTCCATTAAGTCCTACTGAGTAAAATTATTGTTAGATTGTATGAGTCAATATTGTCAAGAGTTGTGCTTGTTTACACAAATACACACTAGTCTATTGCACAAATTATCCTAATATCACTAAATGCACTTATTTATTACCATTTTTTACACCAGAAACATGTATAACTTCAGTAGCATTGCTAATAACTTCTAAGCTCTACTTTATATTATCTGACCAGCTGTTCCAAATATTCTCTTCTCCAGAGAAACATCATGAGTAAAATTGAATGACTACTAGAAATATATCCTCATTATCTGTCTTCTGATAAATAAAATGTTTCATCCTTCTGTGTGTGTTTATCTGCATGATCATTCCACTTACCGTAGTCATAGTCATACATTTTCAGAGATTTGGTGAATTTTGGAGAATGCAATGGAGTATTTGCAAAATCTAAATACTAAAGAGTGATCTGGAACTAACTGGAGCTAGTGCAGAGAAACATTATGGAACTTACCTTGAACAAACAATTAATTTCAAAGAAATTAAATACCTATTTCAATATTTTTCAAAGAAATGAAATACTTATTTCAATATTTTTCTCTCTCCCTCTGATGTCTGAGCACCAGTGATTGCGACACAGAAAATGAAAGAAATTAGCTTATCGAGCAAACTCGAATTCAAGGATGCAGCTGAGATGATATAACTCAGTTTGTTTCATACACTCATGGACAGAATGTTTGTAAATGCCTCCTTCCAAATTGCAATATTGCTTACTTGTCCTTTCCCTGGAGGCCATGGCCAGTTGTGACTTTGTGGGCTGTGAGGATGAGGCTCTCTGCAGATGTTTACAGAGGGCAAAGTGCCGTGTTCAGTCTTGGTAGTGATTGAGGAGAAAATGGCTTTCCTACAGCGAGATGAGTCCCACCTGTGAGCAGCCTTTGCCTCAGCACTTTGTCTGCATCAGCTGCAGTGTGGCAATGTGTAAGAAAGTATCTCATACAGGCACTTGTACTGCAGCGTTCAACACCTGCTGATGTGTGTATCACTGGAGCTCTTAGAACCTGCACAGAAGGCACCCATTAAAGCAGAATCTAAGCAACAAGTGCTGAATTATCCTGAGGCACAGAGGTTTTGGGGTCTGACTGTAATAGATCTCTACTTTCTTGATCCCGCATAGTGGTCCCACCACAGCACTGATGGAAAGGAAATTCATCCTGTGTAGATCAATAACCCTGCCCACAGCAAGGGCAGCAGTGACCAGAGGCAGGGCACAGACAGAGCAAAGCTGTTTCCTCTCCCTCCCATGGAGCCAGTATCAAGTGATTAGAGGTTAAAGCTTTCTCTCTCCCTGTTTTTACGCACAAAATACGTACCTGCATAAAATGCCCAGAGAGATGACCTGCACCACTACCATAAAATAAATCAAACAGCTTTATGGCTATATTATTGTGACTGCAGTGCCAGAAAAAGATACTGAACCTACCTAAAGTCTTGACCAGTTTCCTTCAATAAAAAGTTCATACACACACACAAATTGGATGTATGTTTCGTAATAAGATTGCAGCTGACTGTTATTCGTTGACTTAGAATTTACCCTGGAATTCTATAAAGCGTGTCAGAAAATAAATAAGAGAAAGGGAAGGGTAAATTTAATTCTATGTGTGAGCCTCCCTCAAGCCTCACACAGAAGCCTAAGAGGCTGGGCACCTTGCAAGTCTGTGCCCTGACTGCAAATTGTCTCCACAGCACCATCCAGTGGCTTTTTCTTGGCTGGAAAACACCGCAGAAACCTGTGCCCCAAAACTCCACACCTCAGGGCTGAACTGTACAGCAACACAGCCATACCCTCAGCGTGCTTGCTCTTCCCTCTGCCCTGCCCAGCTTCTGCCACTTCCCTTCAGCTAATAACTATGGACACAACACACTGGAATAACGGGGGAATAGAATGGTATCTATTTATTTTAGGATAAACAGAAGCTCGGTCTCAGAATTAATCATTAAGCATGATAATGTTCTGGAAATCTATGCAACAAATTATGTTGCATTTCTGTCACACATAATCAATGCGAAGTAAGTTTCTGTCATAGTTTAACATGACTTGGAGAATGCAATAATAGACATGTAGCTAAAGACTGCATTAAGCACTTTAAAATCCAGGAAGCCAATTTCATACTGTGCTGTCATCACACAGACAAAAGAAAAAAAATCAGAAAGCTACCAGAGCCCTCTAAAATGGTAACAATAAAAACATGAGACAATTCTCTTTATTTTTGCTTAGCTATATAAAAACATAAAAGGTATAGCAACAGAAACTGTTGTCAACTGTTAAAGGAAAGAAACTTCAATCTTGAAACATCCTTTGATATCTTCATGATATCCTTTGCCTCTCTCAATGTCATCAACACACCATAACAGATATACATAGCCATTATTCTTATTAGTGAGTCTCAATATGCATAGCAAGTCTTATTACAAGCAATCTTTTATATATATAAATAATCCACTTCCAACACTTTACATTAATGAAAACAGTTTTTAAAAAAGAGATCAGCTATTTTTATCCAGAATACAGAATTAGTGCAGCATCCATTCTAAGCAAACCTCTTATGGTAACTGTTGTTCCTACTTACAGGGTCTTTAATGGTTTTACAGGTATTTATGATTTCTTCCTGGATCCTGAGTGCACGGTCATATTGGAGTGATAAAGAAAGAGGGCTGCCATATCATAAGGACGAAAACTGAGTCTCAGGAAAAGCACAAAAGAAGTATTTACAAGGCAGGAAGAGAAGTGATGACTCAAGCCTGACTGTCTGCCATCCCCTACTTGCTCTAGAGCCTGTCTGCAAAATGAGTGAATTTTAAATCCTCTCAGGTTCTACACACTCTCAACACAACCCACCACCAAGCTGAACTGTTGTCATTCTGCCTTTTTATGAGCCAGATCACTAATATACTGTAAAAGCCACACAATTTAAAAAACTTCTCCCTTTCTCAGATGTTAAAAGCATTACTGATGTATTTGTCTGGTGGAGAGAGAAGACTAATTATGTTTTTTTGAAAGCTTGGGTAATTTGTGATTTGAATTTAAAACAGAGTTCCAAGTAGAGGTTAAGGAAAAAAATATGTATGCTTTATCACAATGCTAGTTGGAAGAAAATATGGAAGCAATAAAACTACCAAAAAAAGCACCTTCAGGACGGGTTTCCTGGTGTCTTTTTAGGTCTGTGAAGCTCCTGGACAGTGGAATATCCCTCCTGCTCTTTGGGTGGGTGCAGACCTTCTGTTAGGCTGGGGTTATGCCTACTTAGACTTTTGGGGAACCCTAAGAAATCTAAAAGACTGTCTGTGGAAGGCAGTTGAATTCCTCATTTGAAGTCCACTGTTTTAAACCACAGTGGACACAAGCCAAATTCCTGCACTGGTATGCACTGGTACCCTCCTGGCTTTTACAGAACTCTGTCCAAAGGAAAGAAATCACCCTTTTCAGATGTCAAGGCCAGGACAGAATCTGTATTTGGTCTCTTAAGCTACATATGCTTCCGAAGTTGAATCACGCTGTTCAAATGGCATCTGAGAGTGCAAACAGATTGGCTGCATGTCTTTCTTAGCAGCATGAAAACTCAGTTTCCCAAAATACCATTGATAAAAAGGGGTACACTAAGTTTTGGAGAAAAAATATGTCATTTCAGACACTTAGAGAATCCTTAAGCAGGAAAAACCCTCACTCTTAGAAAAAGGTTCATATGTTTCAAGAGATGGATTCCACAACTTTCTACAACCAGAAGATGTGAAATCTCCCAGTATTTAAGACTTTTTATAGTTAGGAACATCCTACTTATGTGTAGTTTAGGCATTCCTTGCTAAGATGAAAAATTGATCACTATTTCTACTTCTGAGGAATATGTTAGCTGTCTCTTTAGTACTCCCCTTTTCACAACTATAAACTATATGACATAACTTCAAGGTATCTTTTCTTAGGCAGAACAAGCCCAGCTGAAATATTCCTGAAAGATCACATTACTCTATTATCCATGATGCTGACCTCTAGGCTCCCTGCAGGAGGTTTCTTTTTACACTTCTGTCAAACATGAGGTTTGAAGTTGATGCAAACTTCTGCTCACCTAGAGCAAAACAAGCTTCTCACATGTTACACTCCTGGTAATACATTCTGAATGTCTACTAGCTTTCTTGCCAATATTGCTTCCATTAAAATCATCAGACTTTTCCTATCAGTCATCTAAGTTTTCATCACCTTCTTTTTTTGAAATGCTGTTCTCTGCTGTTCTCTATCCTGTTATTTCAAATTCCCTTTTACCAGATTTAGAGGCCTTCATCTTGTCTTTCTCAGCTGTTTCACACCATTAAGAGAAAATAAAATCTAGGTATAAACTCTACCACTTAAAGATGTAAAACAACAGCTCCAAGAAATGTCTCCTTTTTTGTGTGATTAAGATGTTCAATCTTCTCCACATTGATTTGAGGTAGACCAATCTTTTGAAACCTTGTTTTTGGTTCTCTTAGAGATGTTTGATGTATCTGCCTTCTCTTTAGCAAATCATAAACACATTCTTGGTAATGCAATGTTGCCTTCCCTTTTCCCAGCCTTTCTTTCTTGAACAGCTTGTACTGCTCTCTATCAACACTCCAATCCTTTGATTTATCCTACAAAGTCTCTGTCTTGCTGATTAAGTTATAGCTTTGTTTGTGTAGCAAGACATTTCGTTCTTTCTGTTTATTCCACATACTTAAAGATACCTAAAATCCCTGGCTAGCTTCCCTGGAACCCGGCCTCTTGTTTTCTTTTCTCTTGATTCAAATAGGCCACTTGTTTCCAAGATTTCAGGTCCTTTACCAGGATACCACCCCCATAAAAGCAGGTAAAGGTTTCAGCTCTTTCAGAAAAATGAGAAAGGGATCATTCCTTAGGTTTACTTTCTACTCTTTTTCAACAAACTTTGCTGTCTTAAGGCTTTTGCTGTGTTATTCTAAGGATGAAGATTCAAACATCTGTGTGTCTATCATGCCAGTGTTCTTTATATGTGAGATTTGATCTCCTGTTAGAGCCTAAAGGGATGTAGTGTGGATTCAGGTGGCTGTGTATACGTGTCCAAAACCTGTAAAATTTCACAGAATATTTGGTCTAACATACAGAAACATACAGAAAACCTATAAGGCAATTTCCTTGGCAAGGCAATTCAGGGCAGGTCAAAAACTATCTGTTCACCTTTTGCAAGCATCTTTGGATAGTCTTAGGAACCTCAAACAGCACAAGGCACCTCTGCTTTGGGGTTTGTCCTTCCACTAGAATGCTTAGACATGATGGAGCTCACCCAGAAGTCAAAATGCACATTCAAAGCTGAACTTTTCTCTACAATCCCATCACTGTGTTGAATAAATTTCCATTGGCTCTGCAGGGAGCTTAGGACACTTAGGAATTCAGATGTGTACACTAAATTTAGATGTCTCTAGTCTGGAGCCACATCCCATTCCAGCACAGGGTTTGATTCATTAGACCTTTCCTTCCTAAAACCCTGACACTGAAAGACTGTGCCAGAAAAACCCCAAAATGTAACAGCCGAGTATTCTGACAGAAACTAAGTGCTTACTGGGAAGCATAGACATGAAAATAATCATAGAGGACAAAAATTAAATTACTTTGAAAAGCACCAAAAACTTCAGCAATGTTGTTCTACTATTCATTAAAAAATTGCAAAAGAAAGCAGTGAACCTTATTGCACCAAGTTCCACTCTCTGATGTAAGAAAAACAAGCTTGAATCATTCAGAAACTCTGGTTAGAAGAAAGGAGAAAGAGCTTGTAGCATGTCAGCAAAAATCACAGATGTGAATTCTGTGAAACTGACAAATGTAGGCAGATAAAAGAAGTTTAATTGCTTGCTTTCCACCAAAAATATGAATTGTTGAGATTTATGTAGTAATAAAATGGGAATCTACATGGAATTCTGCATATTTCCAATGTAAACTGCAATAATAAAATTAAATAGCAATTTAACTGTCAATAAACCTAAGCCACTTTCTTCCCTGTATTAAAACACAAACCCCAAATATCTTCTTACCTGAATAACTCAAAAGTCTTGAGAAAAAGTCAGACAAGAACTTGCATGTCATGACCCGAAATTAAGGTTGAGAAAATACCAAATATTAATATTGTATATTTTTTCTAGTAGTTCACCTGTGTTTGCTTCTATTTTTTAATTTTTTCCTTTTAATGAAAACAAACAAACAAAAAAAAAACTCCACCCCAAAACAACAAGCCAACCAAAGACAAACATAAAAGAAATATACTTCAAGATTCTAGTCTGGCACAGAAAAACAAACTGAGTGAAAGAGTCCTACAGCTGAGGTCAGTACTTGCTTGTTTAAAAGAAAGTGTTACTATTTATTCACATCTCTGAATCAATCTTTTCCTCTGCTTCCTTTGCTTGCATGTCTCTCTCTTCACTCACAACCCTTTTGCCCCACTAAACCACCACAAGAATGATATCGCTGACAATAAATGTTTCATAGAAAATGAAAGATTTTGACTGGGATTCCCCACCTTCTCTCACAGAATCCACATTCTTCTATCAGTCAATAAATAGAATCTCTCTCAAGTCTCAGAGTTTTGTCTAATGCTATTTAAGTACATAAATGGTAATACACTGAGTTATGTGGAAGAAAAGACTTAATAGTATGGAATGCTTGGTGTGGGTTGGCAAGAACCATTTGCTGCTTGCAGAGTTCTGTCTGGGAGAACTGCAGGGTCTGTAACAATAGAATTAATGAAATTAACTTGTTACAGATTTCATGAATTAGATTAATACAGAGAAAAATACAGAGAAAAATAATTATAAGCTTTATTCTGTGTACAAGTGTAGTCTCCAAAACAAACATAGAAAAAAAAATGTAACTGCAACAAGAGATACTTTTATACTCTGTGATTTTACATCATTGCTAATGAGCAATAGATTGGTAAAAGCATGTTTAAAATTAAATGTGAATAATAAGAAGTCTGAGTAAAATATTTCTCCACTACTCCAAGTTAATAAAAAAATTCAAATAATTGTTAATAAATTGAATACAATTATTTTGAATAATTAGTATAAGATTCTTTCTTTCGCATATAAATCTCCATCTTGGAGAAAATTTCATAATCTCTTAAATGTCCATGCTGGTAAGAAAAGCTTTTATTAGCACATAAAGAAAAGGAGCTGAGACATAAAAAAACCTTTTACCTGGTACCAAATGAGAAAATATGGTTAAAATTTCTGCATTGCTTTTTCCTTTCTTTAAAGATAATGAGTCAAGTCAGCTTACCTGATTTGAGTAAACTTATACTGAATCACAGCTGCTGCTGTTGCTCTTAGCTGTACTCACTAATATTAGAAACTGAAATCAATTAGTATTTCCCAAATCCTCCAACTCTATCTTATTTTTCAAGCTGTCTTTAATCTTCTGTTTTTCTGCTCATGAAATAAAAGCAAGAGATATGTCCTATTGATATTTGCACAAACTGCAGAGAGAAGGGTAAATCCCAGCCTGATTGGTTTTTTGGATATATAAAATTTGGCTGAATTGAAAATTATCAGCACCTGGGCATATGTCAGTTGATGTTCTAAGGAGGATGTAACATGGGAGGTAGAAATGGAGAAGGTCCTAAGGGGAACTTATTTTGGCATGATACTATGAGCAGATTAAAGGGAGGCCCAATCATGCTTTTTATCACCCCTAAAACCTCAATACATGACATGGGTTTCACAGAATGTTTAATTTTTCCCCTTTACTTCTCTCTTGTGGCCACAGTAGTTACTGCTGAGCAACATTTGGCAGCTAGCTACATGTTGGGAATAAAACGTACTAGCATACACTCAAAATGTTGCAAGGATCTTGACTCCACTGTCCTGAAACAGAGGTAAAATTCTGTTTACTTAAATCTTATCTGAGGAATACCACAGAGATTTCATCTGAACATTAGTTTAATAAGGAATTATAAGCTTGGGAAGACCCACAGGAGACTGCTAATGGGTTATGATATGTAAAATGCCAGAAAACGTAAAACACATTGATAGTGCCATGTTGTGCTCACCCCTGCAAAGCAGAATTGTCACAATATGCATAAAAGGCACAGGAAATACTGTTAATTATAGAGGTTTTTGCTTGTGAAAAATTAAATATTACACTCAAAACAGAAGTTGGCTTCTCATGATCTAATAAAGAAATTTATGGGGGAAAAAGCACTCTGCTCTGGGAAATGTCTCTGAAAGTAAGCTGTGATTACACCTCCAATCTGTAGCAACACAGAGCAGCACCAGTGCTGTTGGTAGCCTGCACGAGAGGTACAAATGTTCCAATAACATTTTGGTGTGCTCACATTTCCAACTCCAATGAAATCTGATGGAGCAGCCATTGCAGGCTCTCTGGTCCTCACGTGTGCCTCTATTTACCCAGCCCTCTCTCCTTGCCTTTGTGTGGATATGCATGTATGGGTCTACACAAACATTTGCATACATCCATGTATGCTTACTAGAATGACTGGCTCAGCTTTCCAAGCAGCTGCTTTTGGTATTTGATCTGTATTTGAACTGACACGAGTTGATCTCACGTCTTCCATTGGTGTGTCTTAGATAGAGACCTGCAGAGACCTGTACTGCCTGCACTGCACACTGCCCAGTGGGATGAGGCTGCTTTCCGACCAGGTCCCCAAAGGCACTATGCTTCTGCTGAAATCCCAGCCGTGCCTAACTTGGGGCACATCTAAAATACATGTGCCAGTGGTTCACACAGCAGTCCGACACAGAGACTTGATGCTGCAACCGTGGAAGTCCCAGAGCAGAATCCATCTGGCATTTTCACTGCACAGCTTAATGCGGATTAATTGCATCACCTCTGCTGCCCGTGGAGGTCTGGTGGTCGTTCTCACAGTGCGTGCTGTGGCTGGCATTTCCTTCACACTTGCTGTGGTGACATTTTCAAGCTTGCCTGCTTTGGCAAGCGCTTCACTCCTCGGTGTTCTCCAGGGAGGCAGGTGAAATCCAGCTCCAGTCCCGGCAGCGCAGGAAGCCAAGGGGCTCCTGGCGGCTGGGCTGCCTGCG